TCTCTCTCTCTCTCTCTCTCTCTCTCTCTCTCTCTCTCTCTCTCTCTCTCTCTCTCTCTTTCTCTCTGTTCCTCTCTTCATCTCTGTTGTATCGATATTGCGTTCATGTTCACGTGCTAGTTATCGGCTTGCCGATGGGAAACGTTAATTTGCAAGACATACGTAATACTAGGTTACTAACTATTCTATGTAACGTTTACATAACATGCATCCTAAGAGTATATATAGGAGTCTAACAAGGAAATCCAAAATAGTATCCCCCTTACATTATGATATTCTTTTAATGTGTTTAATCTAGATCAAAACGAGAGACGAATATTTTTTACGAAAATACTCGATATCGCAGGTCTGGGGAAGTGAAATAACACTTTGGGAAAACGTCGCTTTTTATACTTACGAGGAAAAATGTTCAAAACGATCAGAACTTTTTCTTATTTTTGAAGTCCATATTAGATGAAAGATATTAAAAAGTTTAACATTAAAAAAAATCTAATATATTTGTTGTAAACTACATTTGACTTGTAAAATTTTTATTTGAAACATTTCTTCTTATCTCTCATTGTAGTGAACATATCTACTCAGAAATATAAAGAAATCGACCTTTCCAAGGGATTATTTCATTCCCCAAACTTACGATTATAAAAAATTTTCTTTCCTTACCTAAATTATACATAAAATTTATTAAAGGTATATCGTGACATTTTGTAACTAAAGGGGGGATACTATTGTGAGTTTTCCTATGAGTCTGAACAGGATGATGTGCAGGTGAGTTAGTATTAGATACTTATCATAATTTGCAGCGCAGCGCACGAGCATTCATTGTTCGCGTCCAATTGCCGCATAAGTTTTTATGGCTTTGCTGAAAGGCTGCCGTGCACGCCCGCTTGGCCGCGCGACTAGTTCGTCCGGTAACTAACGCGAAGCGACTGAATTTGTGTATAAAGTTAGCGTAGAGAATCGCGACTGCGTTGTAGTGTGACAACAGTTCACTTTAATATCCAGCGACACCGCCGTGTTGAGGCAAACTTTGTGCCGAATCACACGGTAGCTCGGTATTCATTTAACGCTTAAATAGTCCCGCGGATTTTCGCGGAGAGTTGGTATTTATGACGCTGTTTATTTTATAACATCAGCGTAAGTAAGCGACGTAAGTAACTTAACGTATGTTCGAAGAGAAGAAATTCGCACGAGCCACGATAGAAATTACTTATTCTTCCTGAGTGGAAATTTATTCCGCGATTCTGATTAAGTCGACTTAATCAGTTATACGCTTTGTGTAAGGTGATATTTTCGAAACCTGATAAGTCCTGTAACGCAGCATGGCAATCAGAACCTTATTAACCTCTTTAATGGTGATTTAAAATGACTACTCGTTTCCCTCAGAACAGCTTTACTTTTTTGTCTTTTAAGCATATCTAGATTTCTCTTCTCTTTATTGCTATTTTCTTTTGAGAATTTGGAAAAATGGAATACAAGATAGAATCGATGTTCTATTTGTGGCTACTTTAAGAATTTTCGACAAAATAAACGCGTTTTAATTTAATTTCCTTCGTTACCTAATGTCTTTAATTATTTTTATATATTATTAAGAATCTTTAAATAATAAATTTAAGACCGATAAGCAAAATAAATTAAACACATTTTTTAAAAATAATGTTTTTGACCACCATAACACCAGTTCTTGCCATAATAAGTAGTTCTGGCCACATAATGAAATTGAAATTAATTTATAATGAAACAATTAATAAAAAAGTATATGCAATAAAAATCATGGTTTAATGTTAATATCTTAATGTTAATATTTATTTTCAATTATATATATATATATATATATATATATATATATATATTAGCATTTTTTATTTTTAATGATAAATACGTAAAAAGTTTTCTTTTGTGTTTGCTTATCTCTGAAGTTTTCTTTTTAATAAAATGATTTTTCTTATTATCCATCTAAAGAAACCTAAAGATAAGTATATTTACAATGTGTAATTATGTATATATATATATATATATATATATATATATATATATATATATATATATATAAAGTTTGTTTCCAGACAAATAGCTGTACTATACTTTTATAATTTTCCAAAGTACAATAGTGAGGGCCAGTAAAAATTAGAGCATGGATTTTGTAGTACCATAAATTTTATAATTTTACACAAAAAATATTCGTTCTTTTTGTTGGCCACAACTGGAACAACACAACAACCAGTTCTGGCCACCCTATGGTCAAAAATTATTATATTAATACATGATCTAGTTTTTGACACCTATTATTTTTTGCTTAACAGGAATCAAATAATTAGTTATACATATTGAGATTAACTTTTAGACTTTCCGCAAACCGATTATAGAAACATTCACTTACAATCATGTCTTTTATGTAATAATTCTAGCATTTATCTCATCTCGTATCCTTAACGTTTTGCACAAGAAAATGCAGCAGTTCGTTTACCTTTGATTATAAATATTTAATTAAAAAAGAAAAAAAATTCTACATTCGCGAGCAGGGTGACCAATAGAAATGCTATAAAAACAAAATATTACCACTTACGTAACGCGAACATGAATCTTAGACTAAATAATTCGAAAGATTCCTTGAAGTAGCCACAAATGGAGCATCGATCCTATATTTAATTTGTTTGCCACGAGTTAACAAGGATACAATAGTTTAAGGGGAGAACTCCATGTAACTGGTCGGAAAAATCGATGTTTTTTTTTACTTAAATCGAATCCTTGTTATATGGAGAAGATAATCCTAAAGTTTTACCCATTTCGAACCCATTTCGAAGTATTAATGGCACTACGCATTAATGGACACTTTTATCTGCGC